TCAATGATATTGGAATTCGGTAATATAATAACTGACTTCCTAATAAATTCCTCCATTTTGGGTAATGATCAAAAGCAAGTGAACCTCATATGGAGGACGGTAATGTAAAACATGTAGAAAATAGGGTAATGGGATAAATAGTCGAGAGAGTAGGAAGAGAGGGCAGAGAGCAGGGAGTGATTGCAGAGAGAGATAGAGAGCAGAAAGAGAGAGAGAGAGAGATAGAGAGCAGAAAGAGAGAGAGAGAGAGATAGAGAGCAAAGAGAGCGAGAGAGAGAGAGAGAGAGAGAGAGAGAGATAGAGCAGAGAGAGAAAAAAGACCAAAAGGATTTATGAAGATATACAGAAAAAGCGATCTAGGAAAAGGCGGCATCGCAAGACCATTTTAAATGGGGGCCAAATTTGCCAACAGGGAAGCTGACAATTTTCGTCAAGCAAAAAAAATAGAAAAATTTGACTATTTATTTATTTATCCCCTTCACTCTCCCTATCCATAACCAAAAGCATCAATAACAACAAAAACTTACTTGATTTTACATTTGTCAACAACATATAGAAATGTTGAATCTGGCTACCCCCGCCAAAAATTTAACCTATAAGGGGACGATACACTCTAACCTATCACACCCCCTCTAGCGATACCCCCGGTTGAAATGAATCTTATGAGATGAGGCTTGCTCCGAGACGGTGTGTCTGTGATGATAAGATCATTCATTCACGGCAGCGAGACTAGAAGATACAGACAATGGGATGAATAAGAAACGTGTACTTTCAAAGGCAAAATCGAGTCTTGGTCACACGGTTAAAGTGTGAAAGAGTTGGCAAAGTTTGATTATGTGGCCATCGTACATACATATTTATACTTCCTTATAGTTTGATGACAGAAATGATCAACGTGGTGAAATACCAGACTACTTCAGCTATCTTTCAATTATTTCAAACATGAGGGTGTTTGAAGAGCATTCATTTCACCGGATACTAAAAGTACTATGAAATTCGTCAAAGCTGAAACATAAAAAAAATTAAAGACTCGGCCATTATTTCTCATCTTCAGCAAACCTCAAACATTCCCGCCAGCCCGTATCATCAGCAGTCTCTGAGAATCATCTTTTATCCAATTTTACAACTTGTTCCAATAGATCTCATGTTGTACGTCGCTTCTTTACTAATTCACTGAACGCACTTTGGGACAGAGGCACTAGTACATCCATACCATCATCAACACCATCATCATGATTAGATAACAGCTAGAGAAAGAGAAGAAGAAAGACCGATTCATACATGAATGGAACGGAGAAAGAGAGAAGGGGAGAAAGATACATTAACAGATAGGATAAGAGATGGGTAGACAGAAGGGGGAGAGAGAGATGGTGTGATGGAGGGAGAGGCTGAGAGAAAGGAGAAAAAATGCGAAGAGGGAATGGCTCGTGAGTGGCAAGGAGAGAAATAGAAAGGGAGAAGAGAGATGGATAGAGAGAAAGAGAAGCAGAAAAGAGGGACTGGAAGAAATGGACAGTGAAGAGCAAAAGAGAGGAAGTGAGGGAGGGTGACACCCACGAGAGAGAGGGGTAACAAGATATATATATATATATATAGAGAGAGAGAGAGAGAGAGAGAGAGAGAGAGAGAGAGAGAGAGAGAGAGATTGGGGATTGAGAGAAAAGGAAAACAAGTGCATGAAAATGAGAATGAAAATGAAAATATGGTGCAAGAAAATGCTTGTAAAACTAGAAGAGTGAAGATGATAGTATAAAAAGAGGGTTCGATTTTACAAATCGAAATTAAAGAAATAAAGAGTGGAAACAAATTCCCGATGTTCAGAAAATGTGTGCCCAATATTGCACATTACAGGAAAATAAGAAAAACATCCGCCCCCCCCCCCCCCCCCCCCTCCGCCCCCTCCTTCTCCAAAAAAAGGTCAACAAATTATGAAGGGTGCGAAAACGTCTTCATAGAACGTCAGGAAAACGGATTTAGAAACCGTTGGATACTGATGTTCTTTATTATTATAACGTTTTCATCCTGTGCTCGTATTCCATGGCATTTCATAACAACAATCTAATCTTAGCGTTGGCGTGCCAAAACGAAGAATCCGATATTTTCGCTCCCGAAGAAGATGTTTACACATCAAATTAATGGTCTACAATTTCGATAAAATTCTTTGATAATCCAGTGTGTCCACAGCGATACTGAACTATCTGATGTCAGTTTAATCCTCGATGTCGTTGTTTGCTCTGTCTGATTTTTTGTTCGAACTAGTTTTTTATATGATTACTTATCATCTACCATAGATAAACCCTCCAAGTATGTAGAAATGGCGATCACGTGGAGAGGTAGGTTGGGTTCATTTGTGATATTGAATAATGCTCTTATAATTCGAATACTGATTTATGGAGACCAATTGAATAAATGTCTTGCTTCCTCTGCAGTACTTGCTAGTGTCAGAAAAGGAGGACGATTTAAATTTGCATGAAGTATTAAACTCTTACTCTTTACAAACTTGTAACTTTTTTGATAAAAAATAGCAATACCCATTACAAGAAACCCTTACAATAAGCCGAACCCTTGCGCCTATACCTGTCTCTAAACTTTACCCCAAAACAGTTATATCAACCCTGACCCTAAGACTAACCCTAATACATGTACATAGTATTGATGAGTGGAGTGGTATTTTGAAATCAAGCCCTTCATGGTCACTCGAACTTTCCTCCGTCCGTCCGTCCGTCTGTCTGGCTCTCTCTCCCTCTCTCTCTCTCTCTCCCCTCTCTCTCTCTCTCTCTCTCTCTCTCTCTCCTCTCTCTCTCTCTCTCTCTCCCTCTCTCTCTCTCTCTCTCTCTCTCTTATGCATTCCCATTCCCACTCAGTTACTTTCTACCCAATTCCCTTCCATCCCCCTTCTTCCACCTTTTTTTCCATGGCCTTAAACTTGATTGTTGAATAATAATAATAGTATATATTTTGCAAAAACCATATATGAAGAGCTTAAATCCAAAAGGAGCAATTATGAAAAGATGCATCTTCTAATATCACCTTTCCATAGACGCCTGTACAAAATTTGGTAAACGATTTCTTTTTTCTCCGAAGTTATATGAATGGATTAAGCTCCTTTTGGAATTAAAATCTTCATATACTGACGCTTATTTCAGACGCTTTGTGACGCATTTGCGACTGACAAGTCACAAGGGTTTGTTGTCGCAAACTAAATGATGATGTCGGGGAAGTATACTGGGGGTGAAGGACGCCAAAAAGAATGAGTGAACAAGAGGATCCGTTTGAAATTTGACAAAGCTAGGGTTATGCTTTTTTCCCTTCAAAAATGTGATTAAATGTCAAAGCAGAGCCTGAGCCTGCAGACTAATCATCATCGTACCAACTTCTTATCCACGATACCGTGATCTTGACGATAACGGTGTTGATTTTGAGTTCGATTTCACTCCACTTTTGCCGTCCAGATGTAAGTGAACACCACTTGGATTCATCCTAATGGAGTTCGCGCCTCTTTTGTCTTAAACAAACAAGTCGTTGCCATGGGCAACACCATCAATTATGGCGTAATTTTGTCTGAAATCTATCCGCGCATTTTAACCGGGCACGAAGGAGTATGATTATTGTGATAGTATCGTATGATCGCTGTCGCATTTAAAAAGAAATTATCGACTGTCTTATGTCGAGGACGGTCATATGGCGCGTCTTTCTATCATGTTAATAAATCTTTTTATGGTGGATAGAAAAATAGACCTACCTTGACTGTTTGTTATCTTATCATGCAAGTGAAATGTGATACCATCATTTGACACAGCTTAGCGGATATATGAATTAAAAGGTTCGTATTACATTCATTTAGTAAAAACCACTGATCTAAGATCACCTTCAACAAAGAAAACCCGTATACCTCATACTAACTTGATTTCATAAACACGTTATTGAAGAAAATGAAGGAAAACAAAGTAAAAAGGGGTGGTACGACTTCCATCTCTCTGTTCTCCTCACCCATGGCCGTGTTCACCTGGCGCTAATCATTCACCTATTATTACCCCTCCCCCCCCCTCCCAACTTCCTCCCGGTATAAGTGCCTTTTCAAAAAAGGCGTAGCCCGCGTGTCCAGAGTGTTTCAGAAAACAGATTTAAGATCGCGGCGAACCATGACATTTAGCGCAAAAGAATACGTAATTTCAAAGTATTTTTAATTCATTAACTCGCTAGTAGACAGTATTCTAAATAATGCTTGGTTGATTATCTTTTCAGTAGGGATTATTTGTGTCGTGAAGATTTTGAATTATGAATATTTTAACAGTTGACTAAATCCAGCGGGGATAGGTGGTGCCTTATCCGGAAAAAACTTTGACAAGCTAAACAATCGAACAAAGAAACGAACTTGTATCCCCTTTTTTTACTCAAAAATTCTCTGACAAGGGAAATAGAAAAAATGAACTAACGAACTATAAATAAATTTGTCACATTTTCAGGTGTTCTAGGGAATGTTATTGCCAAGTGAGAGGGGGCACAGTTCAGGGAGCCGATTTTTCTTTTGATTTCTTAATCTGAACTTAAAGGCAGTATAATTATTCTACTGACACTTCAGATTAACGTATCCTGCCATCTGCTACTTATGTAAGGGACTTTTCGATTTGCACGACGAGAACGTGGACTGCCACGTGTGACATCCTTTTAAGGCATTGTGACGTCCTTTTAACGCACTGGCAGTGCCCGGCATACGCCTGTGTATATATATTTTTTTTTTTTTTTTTGCTTTATTAGAACCCAATATCTCTATGACATCATAGATTTATATTTTCAAATTAAATTAAATGGAAGAAGAGGAAATTTTAGGGAGTGAGTAGCAAGAAAACAAAGAGATACTCTATTAAAAGATCAAAATAATATTCATTGAAGCTTTTCATGTAAGCTCATGTGCTGACTTGTCCCTGCATTCGCATTTGTAATATATCATAACTGCGTTATAAACCCATCAAGCATTGTCATCTTTTTCTTTGCAGATTATACGGAAATCTTCAACGCCCACATCACGTTCTATTGAAGCTTAGGAGCTACGGCATTCAGCGATAATCTCCTTCAAGACAAGACGTCAGTGATTACTCCGAAACAAACGATAGGTGATACTTAAGTAGCTCGTCGTCGTCGAAGAGAGAAGGATTTCTGTTTTAGGCAACATGGATCTTTCAGATGATTTTTACGGGAACTATGACGAGAATTCGTCTCTGTATTCATCATTGCTGCCGTACGAGCCGAGCCCGTCGGAGCGAGTCTACAGCTGGCTTGTTCCGACCATCTTCAGCGTGATCACCCTGGCCGGACTCGCGGGCAACTTCGTGGTCATCTACACCATCTACTGCCACACGAAGAACAGGACGGTGACGAGTTATTATATCTTGAATCTGGCGCTCACGGATATAGCCTTTTTGCTCTGCTGTGCTCCCTTCACCGCCTCGGTGTACGCCACACCCACCTGGCTCTTCGGGAGGTTCATGTGCAAGTTCGTTTTTTACATGATGCAGGTGAGAACATAGTTACGGAGTGAAAAGTAGTAAGGGCTTTTAGATTTGCACGTCGACATAGTGGACTGCTACATGTGACGCCCTTTTAAGGCACTGACAATGCCTTAAAAGGATGTCTCAGTACCTTAAAGCCGCACTGTCCTACTTGTAGCTACTTGCTCCCTCTATATAGTAAACTTCCCCAATCGGTGCCTGTTGGTCCCCCATGATCCTCTTTTTCTTATGTTAGTTGAGAGCTGAGTTAATGAGATAGCCACCTGTCAGTGACCTCGCTGTGTGGTCTAATCCCATCTGGCCCAGTAGTGTTGACGGTCTTTAAAAGGACGCAACGTGTAGCAGTCTACTATGTCGCCGTGCAAATCTAAAATTCCATATTGTGTGGTGACGACGACGATTGTGACGGTGGTGGTAGAACCTAATTGAAGGTGACGATGTTTGGTGTAATGGTGGTGTTTGATGACGATGATGGTGGGGTTTGAGTTATACAGTATTTAGTAAATGCGATGGTGTTTGTTGATTGCGAGGGTGTTTGGTGATTCGATGGTGGTGTTTAATGATGATGGTGGTGTTTGAGGTACTACTAGTATATAGTATAGTAAATTTCGTCATTCAACACACAAATATTTAAAAAAAAAAAATCGTCATTCAAATATGAGGGTGAACTACTGCTCCTCTTTCTGTGAGCGATTGCCGATCGTACGTCAGGTGCCGTCTGGTGATTGTTTCTTTGTCATTTTAGATCTGCTGTAGATCACCTAATTCGTCATCAGTGAAGAATTTCAGTCTAGTTTGATATTATGATTCTATTTATGATGCTAGTTCTAGTAAAGCCGGATGTAGTTCAAGAAACAAGATGATCCTTTCAAAATGGAATTGTATAATCTCAGTAGCCTCGGTAATTCCATACACTGCAAAGTCGTTGTGTGGTTCACTCCTTACACAGGGGTTGTGTTAATTTGTGTAAAAAGAATTACACCCTTTTACACAACGAATTTGCAGTGTAAAGTTGTGTAATTTATTTTACACAACTTAACACAACCCATAACTCCTTGCCCTGTGTAAGGAGTGAACCACCCGATGTTGTGTAAAGTCGTTACACAACGACCGCAAACGCCTTGAATTAATCCCTTGAAATAAAATTGTTTGTTTACTCATGAAATAAACTACGGGAATATAGAAATATAAAATGATGTCAGGAACGTCAATATTTGCCCACAACAATGAAAGGAAACAACAAAACTTCCGTTAAAGTCGATACCCTTAATGAAACCGGTCCATATAGTCACGAGCACCCAACATCAACAAACAACTCGATAGCTACAGGCAATATTGACGATATTCATTTCATTTTAGCTTCCCGTATTTCTTTTTTCTCTTGCTTTCATGGGCCTCTCTCTAAAAGAAAGGATCATGCCCCGGGTGTGTATAAACACAACAAAGCGCGTGGCATGACAACTTTGGTCAAGAACCGAAATAGTCGACCTTATCCGCCATATACCCGAGTAAATGCAGTTAGGTTATTACCCGAGGCGATCCGAAACAGTTATGGCGAGAGAGAGAGAGAGAGAGAGAGAGAGAGAGAGAGAGAGAGAGCGAGAGAGCGAGACATACGCGGGTTCATGAAAAGTAAGGCACGAGTTTATTTGCCAATATCCGCATATTGAATAATACCTTTGAATTATTAGAACAGTCTGTCACTATGAGCGCTTTTAAGGGTAATCATTGCTCTAGCTTATGAACTAAATTGATTGCACATTTCCAGGGCGAGAATTTTAAATGGGCTTAATGTATTACCTTTTCTTCTTCAAATTTGCAGACAAATATTCCCAATCCCATTAATCTTTAAAAAAGTAATTTTGCGACAACATTACCTCAAGAGACATTTTATGTCATACAACTTAGCCCAATACACGGGATAGCGTGGCTTAACATAGTGCGCCATGCTGCCGGTAGTAACAAAGCGATATAACGCTTTGAACAATATGGAAATTCTATATTTTGTCCTGACAGATTTATAACTTTATCGACCGACATATCTATTGAATTTGCAGAATAAATTCGTTTACGCTATTACCAAGGTGGCGGTTACAGCGGTAACTATGTTAGCAATTTAGAAAAAAATGTATTTATCGCATAGGATTTTTTTGACCTGATTGAAAAGGTGCTGTAATGTAAAACTTAGCTCAGTTAGAGTAAGGAAAATAAAACTGAAAACAATTCTTTGATATATATTTGTATTCAAAATACACCCCCAAAAATATAAACATAACGAGAGGTATGTATTTCATTTCACCGGTTTTCCTGCTTGGACACATACCCTTGTGAAATTAGTGCGATAAAAATAGAAATATCTACGATGTTGTTTTCAAGTCCCACTTTTGGATCGACAAAACTCGGCCACAAACCTCATAATACAACAAGGAGAAAACATACGATGACCCAAAGTATACAAGTAAGTCATATTTGGTATTTGTTATAACTTTACATGTATATTAACGTCTTTTGTCACTGAATCCGTATTCTGTCGTCGATACATAATTCAATGGAAAACAGTTCGAAACTTACCTCGCTTAAATGAACAAATGAGATATGACAGTCATGACAACTCTTGTATTTCACCCAAAACCCAATATTCATCAGGCCTACACTTGCCTTCAAAACATACGAAAACTTTGTCATCGAATCCGTGAAAGGCAAATCAGTGAATGTTAAAGTTAAGGTTACTTTGTAGCTTTCAGGGGGCACATGGGTTACGTGCCCCCCCCCCCCCTCTCAATCGAATGACGGTAAATGAAAGAAGAATTACGAAAATCATGAAGAGAGAGAGAGGGAAGGGAGAGGGAGAGAGGATAGAGGACGAAAAATTAATATTATCGTGCATCCCTCCAAGACTCTCCCCCTATAATCAGATGCCTAGTAAATTAGCGAGACTGTTGCCCCCCCCCCCCCCTACCCCGTGATGCGAGTGCCCACACGATAGCTGGTCTTATGCTACGCCAGGGGGTTTTTCACGAAGACTAAGATTGACTTTCAGTTGGACTTAACTATGGTAGGCCATCCATGACTCTGGTTGCTCTCACCGTTATGACCTTTAGATAATATTTTTTCCTTCAATAATGAATTTTCAACAAATCTAATTTCTGTAGATTTGTGACCATCATGTGTACGTTCCTTGAGAGACCAATGTCAGTTAGTGTTTTGTTGAGAGAAAATAGTGGCATAAACGGCCTGCCATAGTTAAGTCTAACTTAAAGTCGAACTTAGTTTTCGTGAAACGCTCCCCAGATGTAGACTGAGTTCAAACAATTTCTCGAATTCCAAAGGCAGTATATCGATTTGTGATGCGACACCCACACGGTGGAAGTCGTTCTTGATTTCATTTGGCATGTTCATTGCAATTTGCTCGCTTTCCATCGCCCAGTTCCATAAATCATCTGTAATATGGGAAAGTTGGTCAGGACCTCAATTCCCTCCATGATTCTGTTCAGCCTTCATTCAGTAATCTGGGCTTGTTCTCATGGACAAGATAAGACAATATAGTTTGTCCATGTAGACTGGATATTCTTGTTTATTTGATTTCGAGTATATTGATATTTATTTTCTTTTCCATTTAAGCGAATGTAATATATTTTATATGCTTTTAATCTTTTTGAGCACAAGAACGGATAGCCGTGATTGCCGCTCGGGTTCGAGACCGAATGATGCTATGAAGTTCTTTTGTATATTCAAAGCGACTGTGGTATGAAATTTAAAAGGTATTTCTTGCCATTATTTTCCTTCTTCTTCTTCTTCCTCTTCTTCTTCTTCTTCTTTTTCTTCTTCTTCTTCTTCTTCTTCTTCTTCTTCTTCTTCTTCTTCTTCTTCTTCTTCTTCTTCCTCTTCTTCTTCTTCTTCTTCTTTCTTCTTCTCTATTCTGCTTCTCCTCCTCCTCTTCATCCATTCATTTATTCCTTCTCTTTTCTTCTTCTTCTTTCTTCTCCTTTTGTTGTTGTTGCTTCTTCTTCTCCTTCTTTTCCACCTTCCTTTCCCTAAGCCTAGTCCTTTTCAATCAAACTAATCAATCCACCACGCCCCCTCCCCTCCCCACCAAAATCACAACAATATATATATATATATATATATATAAAGTTTTGCATTTGGCAGAACGGAAACTTGCATTGTAATGACGCCGTTTGTTCAAAGAAGAATGAGAACATTTCGTAGTTTTAAGCTTTTCCTTTTAGAGAACTTTAGATCACGCAGGCAAGAGTAGTGTCTTGATCTTAATATTCATCCTTTTCTGCCTTCTTTTGATGTGGATGTGTAAGATACATATTTGTTAAAGTTTAGGGACGATATAATGTAATACCCAATTCTGTCATTTCAATTTCCCCTGAAAATAAATAATCTTCGTGATACCATAACCCAGAAACCTGATGTTGACTCAGTGAAAAGGTTGAGGGATTGTAATATAAATCTCAAATATGGGTTGATATATATGTTCGCTTCCAAGTATTCGGGGGTCTAGGGTGCCTATTAATAGCGACCCTGGGGAAAATATATTTGTATTCATGGGAGTACAAAGTATATATCGAGCGTGACCAGAGAGCATTTTCATTAGGGTTCGTTAGGGAAATGTTAAAAAGAGAATGAAGAGTAAAAAGTTACGTTTTCCTAAAATCCAAAAGAAATGTTATCATATCCCGCAAGAACATTCGGACTAGAAAGTTGAAAGGGGCAAAAACAAATTTGTAGGGCGTGTTATACTCAAGACATGTCAGTTTCTGTTAATAGGTAATCGAGGAAAGGTTCATGGATAGAAGAATATAAGCAACTTCGTGGATGCAGTCCCCACAGGGTCATCTAATTGTAAAATCCACTAAAACTAAATACTGAACTGCCCATATGTCTAGTGACGTGCCTTCTGAGATTTAAATTTCAAATACCCTAATAAATTTGTAGGGATTCACAGTCTTTAGTGAAATGAACATATATTTCCCTTTATTAATCGAATACACGAG